AATATGCATCTACTGGTATAGTGTGGCCATCTTTGAATGCATCAACGTTATTTTCTCAAACTCTTTAGGGACTATTGTGGTGATTCCAAAGACCACATTTGGAGTGAATCTGACTTTTAGTCCATGAGAAGTAGATGTTTTATTATTATTTTAAGCATTAGTGTTACATGGTCAAAAAAGTTTCCTTATTTTTTTAAGATATCAAACTTAACATGGTTCATCATGTTAATGGCTTTGATGACCCTAACATTTTTCCTGATTTATCAATACCTCAGCCATCTCATAACCAACCCCTTAGTCAAACTAAGTTAAGATAATATACCATACACACCCAATTTTGTGTTATTTGGACTTAGAATACGTTTTTTTCCCCGAACATTCTCGAAAATGTTCAAGATGGAGAAAAATCTATGCTGGCGGACCTTATGGGTCCTTGAGGCAAATTTGTTCAGCATGAGTCAAAACACCTACATACAAAGTTTTAACATTTACATAATTCTCCGAAACGCATGTCAAAATAAATTGATTGCATTTTAATGAGGAAATAAGTATTGACCCCCTCTCAATCAGAAGATTTATGCCTCCCAGGGTCTTTTATACAGGTAACGAGCTGAGATTAGGAGCACACTCTTAAAGGGAGTGCTCCTAATCTCAGCTTGTTACCTGTATAAAAGACACCTGTCCACAGAAGCAATCAATCAATCAGATTCCAAACTCTCCACCATGGCCAAGACCAAAGAGCTCTCCAAGGATGTCAGGGACAAGATTGTAGACCTACACAAGGCTGGAATGGGCTACAAGACCATCGCCAAGCAGCTTGGTGAGAAGGTGACAACAGTTGGTGCGATTATTCGCAAATGGAAGAAACACAAAAGAACTGTCAATCTCCCTCGGCCTGGGGCTCCATGCAAGATCTCACCTCATAGAGTTGCAATGATCATGAGAACGGTGAGAAATCAGCCCAGAACTACACGGGAGGATCTGGTCAATGATCTCAAGGCAGCTGGGACCATAGTCACCAAGAAAACAATTGGTAACACTACGCCGTGAAGGACTGAAGTCCTGCAGCGCCCGCAAGGTCCCCCTGCTCAAAAAAGCACATATACATGCCCGTTTGAAGTTTGCCAATGAACATCTGAATGATTCAGAGGAGAACTGGGTGAAAGTGTTGTGGTCAGATGAGACCAAAATCGAGCTCTTTGGCATCAACTCAACTCGCCGTGTTTGGAGGAGGAGGAATGCTGCCTATGACCCCAAGAACACCATCCTCACCATCAAACATGGAGGTGGAAACATTATGCTTTGGGGGTGTTTTCCTGCTAAGGGGACAGGACAACTTCACCGCATCAAAGGGACGATGGACGGGGCCATGTACCGTCAGATCTTGGGTGAGAACCTCCTTCCCACAGCCAGGGCATTGAAAATGGGTAGTGGATGGGTATTCCAGCATGACAATAACCCAAAACACACGGCCAAGGCAACAAAGGAGTGGCTCAAGAAGAAGCACATTAAGGTCCTGGAGTGGCCTAGCCAGTCTCCAGACCTTAATCCCATAGAAAATCTGTGGAGGGAGCTGAAGGTTTGAGTTGCCAAACGTCAGCCTCGAAACCTTAATGACTTGGAGAAGATCTGCAAAGAGGAGTGGGACAAAATCCCTCCTGAGATGTGTGCAAACCTGGTGGCCAACTACAAGAAACGTCTGACCTCTGTGATTGCCAACAAGGGTTTTGCCACCAAGTACTAAGTCATGTTTTGCAGAGGGGTCAAATACTTATTTCCCTCATTAAAATGCAAATCAATTTATAACTTTTTTGACATGCGTTTTTTCTGGATTTTTTTGTTGTTATTCTGTCTCTCACTGTTCCAATAAACCTACCATTAAAATTATAGACTGATCATGTCTTTGTCAGTGGGCAAACGTACAAAATCAGCAGGGGATCAAATAGACGCTCTTATCCAGAGCGACTTACAAATTTGTGCATTTTTTTTTTTTTAAGTCTCTAGGTTAAACGGGGCGACGCATATGAGGGTTTAAGTGAGACTGCTTATAACAGTGCCACCTATAGGCCAGTCGGTGCCATTCTTTTTGACCAAGTTACTCATGGGCTCTAGTGTCTGTGTGCCAAATTAGAAGGAAAAAAAAGTTGCCGATCTATGCTTGAGTTATTTGAACATGTCAAGACAAAAGAATACAGAGAAGAACAATAGGTTTCACAGCCAACCCCTATTTTGGTTGACCCCAACCCTGGTGAGCAGTAAGTCACGGTAGAGACAACATTTTTATCCAGAGCAACTAGGGTTATGTGCCCTGCTCAACATTTTTCACCTAACCGGCTCGGGATTCGAACCAGCCACCTTTCGGTTACTGGTCCAACAATCTTAACTGCTATGCTACCTGCCTCCCCCCAGACAAGACAACACTCCCCCCTAGCCCTGAGCTATGGCATCTTTATTGAAGTTAACACTTTAACAGAGAAACAGTCAAGCAGCTTTGGATACTACTAGGTTACAACAGACTATGGGAATTCTAGACTGTGGCCCAAATGGCACCCTAGTCCTTCTATAGTGCACCACTTTTGACCAGGGCTCTGGTTGCACTATAAAGGGAATAGGGTGCAAGTTGGGACGTACCCGTCTCCTTATGAGGAGAAATATCAACTAACAAATCCATGAGGAAAAAAATTGTCAATCCTGTCTGTGTATGATTGTCCTGTTGCTCATGTTGGGCCCGATTCAGACTTGAGATAAGTAGACATAACATGGACACGTTGACTTATCGCAAGTCTGAATCGGGCCTGTTATGAACATGTCATGTTATTGCTATTGGCTGAGGTGGTGAAATATCCATGTAGAGATAGAGATCAATGTAATTGTTCTGTCGTTATCATGTTGGATTGTGTACAGGGTGTGAGTATGTATCTAGTTATTACAGGGTTATTATAACTTAAAACGGTGATGTGCATTATTCACAAATATTAACTGGTTTCTCTACAATGGTTCTACATTTGGAAATGGAACTTCATAATTTCCAGTATATTTTCCACGTACCATCATTTTGGCAGCATCAATACTTCTAAACAGTTCTCTTTTCCTTAATGTCATTGCATATTCTTGTAAAGACAGTTCAACTAGGATTCATTCCCATGTTCAAAGAGGGCAGTGGGTAAATATGGGTAAAGTCTATGAAATAACAGTTAGTTTGTACCAAATGGTTCAACAATGACATTAGGCTATTCTCTGTAAACTACTATACTTAGAGTCATCATTTGGCATGCACATTTACTAGCTTTACACAACATAAAGTCACTACCACTACCGTCACTACCACTCCTTAACTTTATACACAATAAATACAAAAAGATAACTTTTCCGAGAGAAAATATGGACCCGTTAAGGATCTTAAAAATGTAAACATGAAAATAAGCAAAGATGTGTAAAAATACCACACATATACACGTACAGTGAGTTGTAGAAGTTAAGCGTAGTTGTTTTTTTTGTTTGTTTGTTTTTTACAGTATATAACCATGGGTCGTGTTCATTAGTGCACACCGTAGCAAAACGTTTTTGCAACGGAAAAACGGAAAGGTAGTCCCTCCCTGTTTCAACCCGTTGTCTTCTTTCAAAGACTTTGGTGCCTAATTTAATACAATCCTGGTTTGTCTAGGAACTCTCGTTGTCTCCTCTCCTTCATCTGCAGTTATATGAGTGGTAGCTGTGTTGCTGGCCGATATCAATATACAATAGAATAGTGAATCCAATCCCAGTCAGTCCCCATTCAGGTCCCATAATGACTGTCTCTTATTCCTTCTCCAGTCCACTGCCTGATAGATAGGCAGATCTAATGCCCTTTTGGTGATGCTCCAAGCTGGTCTCATCTGAGACAGTTGTTGGTTTGTCCTCCTCTATGGGCAGCCTGGTTGCTTCCTGGTGGTTTGTCCTCCTCTATGGGGCAGCCTGGTTGCTTCCTGGTGGTTTGTCCTCCTCTATGGGCAGCCTGGTTGCTTCCTGGTGGTTTGTCCTCCTCTATGGGCAGCCTGGTTGCTTCCTGGTGGTTTGTCCTCCTCTATGGGCAGCCTGGTTGCTTCCTGGTGGTTTGTCCTCCTCTATGGGCAGCCTGGTTGCTTCCTGGTGGTTTGTCCTCCTCTATGGGCAGCCTGGTTGCTTCCTGGTGGTTTGTCCTCCTTTATGGGCAGTCTGGTTGCTTCCTGGTGGTTTGTCCTCCTCTATGGGCAGCCTGGTTGCTTCCTGGTGGTTTGTCCTCCTTTATGGGCAGTCTGGTTGCTTCCTGGTGGTTTGTCCTCCTCTATGGGCAGCCTGGTTGCTTCCTGGTGGTTTGTCCTCCTCTACGGGCAGCCTGGTTGCTTCCTGGTGGTTTGTCCTCCTCTATGGGCAGCCTGGTTGCTTCCTGGTGGTTTGTCCTCCTCTATGGGCAGCCTGGTTGCTTCCTGGTGGTTTGTCCTCCTCTATGGGCAGCCTGGTTGCTTCCTGGTGGTTTGTCCTCCTTTATGGGCAGCCTGGTTGCTTCTCTGGTCACCCAGTCATGGAATACCAGCATGGAATCCCAGCATGGAATAGAATCATTGAGCCAGAAATGACTATATAGATGTCCATGATCTTTTGTGTTCATGACTCCACTGGTCTGTTTCATAGGGTGTGTGTGTGTGTGTGTGTGTGTGTGTGTCCCCTCCACCGAGCCAGAGTGTAAACAGAGAGGGTGCCACACCTCTCCAGTAGTTATTAGACTCCCCAGTGTCTTCCTCAGACAGTTCAAACGGCTGTAATATATTACAGTATGCATTATCCAGTATCACACAGCAGTGAGTCCACACAGAGGTTCTGTTGGTATATCTTCTAGTATGTCCACAACACTGATGTTGCACTGCTACTTTGTCTCTATAGTCACAATACAGTCTTTATCCGCAACCCCAGGTGGAGCAGCCCATGACCCATAAGTAAGTCATAGGTCAAAGGTCGTGGCCCAGCGTTAGGGAGTGGTCAGTCTATAGCAGGGAGCTGGTGGGGCTGCCGGGCAGGGGTGGGCTGTGGTGGCTGTGGCCCTGGTTGTGTGTGGGGCTGTAGCTCTGGCTGTGTCTCAGGGGCAGCAGGTCGTAGTGGCTGGGGATGTGGCTGTTCCTGGGGAGGTCGTAAGGGTTCTGAGGGTACGTGGGAACCACCACACCTTTAGAATCCTGGAGAACGCTCACCATGGGTTCTAAAGGGAGGATGGAGAGATAGGGGAATGGAGAGATAGAGATAGGGGAATGGAGGGATAGAGATAGGGGAATGGAGAGATAGAGATAGGGGAATGGAGAGATAGAGATAGGGGAATGGAGGGATAGAGATAGGGGAATGGAGAGATAGAGAGGTTAACTTTTCTGACAAATCCAAAAGTGATCATTCAAACACTTCATACAAGTGCCCTCCACAATAACCCCCTCAGACAGAGAGACAGAGACAGAGACAACAGACAGAGACAACAGACCGAGACAACAGACAGATAGCCAGTCAGTTAAACAGAAAAACCAATTCATCTTCCTCATGATCTCAACTCGTCCAGAGCTAAGGGGACGTCGATGACCCTACATCCCCCTATAACTCACCCACGTCATAGACGTTCTTACTGGCGGTGTGTGTGGCGGTGGTGACTACAGCAGAGGGGCAGTAGGACATCTCCTGGTGGGCAGGACTCTTCATCTCTACGTAGCTGCTCTCTGAGTGTTTACAGGCCACGGCCAGTGGGTCATTAATGGTGGAGTAGGGGTTCTCGCTGTTCAGAGAGCAGGTGCTGGACAGCGAACCCTTCATGTAGTCTGACAAAGAGAAAGAACAAACAGAGAAGCAGGAAGAAAGAACACTTACAAAGGGGCTTGTTATTCTGTTATCTGTTAGTTAAGGATTCTGACATCAGCGATGACACTGTCAGCCTTTCAACGCATTCATCATATCAACATTGGGAGACGAATACAACATCACATTACCATTCTAGCCCAGGAGGTAAGACAAGTAAAAACTATTATCCACTGACAACCTGTGTAAAATACATATTTGAAAACCCACAGAGTACGAAATGACACAGGACCAGCATCACATATAGTAGCATTTCCCTGATAAGACAATAAAAACTGTTTCCCTGACAGCTTGTGTTTACATATTTGAAACGCACAGAGTAACAGGATAAATGACAAGGAAAAGCTTACAGATTAGTAGGAGTTAGAAAGAATCAAAATAAGTGGGACTAAGAGTGAGGTAAGGCGAGGGAGGAGAGAGAGGGAGGGGGAGGAGAGAGGAGGAGGAAGAGGAGAGGGGAGGAAGATGAGAGGAGTGGGAGAGGGAGTGGGCAGGAGATGAGTATTGATACGAGTGTAGCGGTTCGTGTGCTCATGAGGCTCTTTCGTTGTCTGGAGCTCGATGGTCGGACTGGAGCGTGTCATCGTCATGACGTGTCGAGGACGTTATCTGTTGGAGCGGGTGAGCGGCTCGGGAGAGAGGAGAGGAGGAAGAGGAGAGGAGAGAGGAGAGGAGAGAGCTCTGCGAGAGAGGATGGTACCAGAGGAGAGGAGTGAGGCCCGGAGGATGAGCGAGAGGGAGGAGGAGAGAGGAGAGAGGAGTGTGTGAAACCATCAGGAGGAAGGAACACATACAGAGGAGGAGGAGATCAAAAGCGTGCCCTGTGGAGAGAGAGACACACAGAGGTCAAAACACACAGAGGTTTATGCACACACATCAGCTCATACACATCGGTTTATATCCAAACCAGAGTATGTGAGCGGAGAGGAGCGGTCGGAAATCCCGCTCAATCAAAATATATTTTATATTTGAGATTCTTTAAAGTAGCCACCCTTTGCCTTGATGACAGCTTTGCACACTCTTGGAATTCTCTCAACCAGCTTCATGAGGTAGTCACCTGGAATGCATTTCAATTAACAGGCGTGCCTTCTTAAGAGTTAATTTGTGGAATTTATTTCCTTCTTAATGCGTTTGAGCCAATCAGTTGTGTTGTGACAAGGTAGGGAGGGTATATAGAAGATATCCCTATTTGGTAAAAGACCAAGTCCATATTATGGCAAGAACAGCTCAAATAAGCAAAGAGAAACGACAGTCCATCATTATTTTAAGACATGAAGGTCAGTCAATCTGGAACATTTCAAAAACGTTGAACGTTTCTTCAAGTGCAGTCGCAAAAACCATCAAGCGCTATGATGAAACTGGCACCTCAGATTGCAGCCCAAATAAATGCTTCACAGTTCAAGTAACAGACACATCTCAACATCAACTGTTCAGAGGAGACTGCGTGAATCAGGCCTTCATGGTCGAATTATTGCAATGAAACCACTACTAAAGGACACCAATAAGAAGAAGAGACTTGCTTGGGCCAAGAAACACGAGCAATGGACATTAGACCGGTGGAAATCTGTCCTTTGGTCTGATGAGTCCAAATTTGAGATTGTTGGTTCCAACCGCCGTGTCTTTGTGAGACACAGAGTAGGTGAATGGATGATCTTCGCATGTGTGGTTCCCACCGTGAAGCATGGAGGAAGAGGTGTGATGGTGTGGGGGTGCTTTGCTGGTGACACTGTCGGTGATTTGTTTAGAATTCAAGGCACACATAACCAGCATGGCTACCACAGCATTCTGCAGCGATACGCCATCCCATCTGGTTTGGGCTTAGTGGGACTATCATTTGTTTTTCAACAGGACAATGACCCAAAACACACCTCCAGGCTGTGTAAGGGCTATTTGACAAAGGAGAGTGATGGTGCTGCATCAGATGACCAAATCACCTGACCTCAACCCAATTGAGATGGTTTGGGATGAGTTGGACTGCAGAGTGAAGGAAAAGCAGCCAACAAGTGCTCAGCATATGTGGGAACTCCTTCAAGACTGTTGGAAAAGCATTCCAGGTGAAGCTGGTTGAGAGAATGCCAAGAGTGTGCAAAGCTGTCCTCAAATCAATGACAGCCTATTGTATAGATAATAGAACGAAAATGAACGAAACTTTTAAGACATCTGATTTCTTGTTTATAAATACTTTGCTACAATGACACACTTAGTTATCTACCACACTCCCTCTCTTGCTCTTGGTCCTCATCTTTGTAAGTGATTCAGCACCTGTGTGTTTTATCAGTTTCTTTATGACAATATTTAGTGAACTCCATGGCGGTAGCTAAAGCAAGGGGCTATAGCAGCACACAAGTAGACTACAAATGCATGCTGGGCCGGGCACGCCCAGCGCTACTGGAGCGGTACTGGAGCGAAATTGGAGCGGGCGAGAACGCCGACGCTCCAGCCTTTGGGGAAACTCGCTCCGCGCTCCAGTCAAACTGGGCACGCTCCGCTCCTCGCGCCACTCCAGCTCTGCTCCGCTGACATACTCTGACACAAACATACGCACAGCACACATGCACTCACACACTTCAGTGCAGGAAAGTCTTTGGGTAACACAGACAACAACTATGTTATATGGGACAGGTCCTCTTCATAAGGACCTTGTTATAATGGACATAGTTGAGTCTCATACTCTACCTCTGTAATACTGCTCATGGTAGGAGCTGTAGCGCCTGTCTACACAGTACACACCTACAGAGATGTTAAAGGGACAGATTAATCAGACTGTGTTTAGAGGAAACTTGTATATGGCCATTATATAGCAGGTGTTCCTAATGTTTTGTCCACTCAGTGTATATGGCCATTATACAGCAGGTGTTCCTAATGTTTTGTCCACTTAGTGTATATGGCCAGCTATACAGCAGGTGTTCCTAATGTTTTGTACAGTCAGTGTATATGGTCAGCTATACAGCAGGTGTTCCTAATGTTTTGTCCACTCAGTGTATATGGCCATCTATACAGCAGGTGTTCCTAATGTTTTGTACAGTCAGTGTATATGGCCAGCTACACAGCAGGTGTTCCTAATGTTTAGTCCACTCAGTGTATATGGTCAGCTATACAGCAGGTGTTCCTAATGTTTTGTACAGTCAGTGTATATGGCCATCTATACAGCAGGTGTTCCTAATGTTTTGTCCACTCAGTGTATATGGCCATCTATACAGCAGGTGTTCCTAATGTTTTGTCCACTCAGTGTAAATGGCCATCTATACAGCAGGTGTTCCTAATGTTTTGTCCAGTCAGTGTAAATGGCCATCTATACAGCAGGTGTTCCTAATGTTTTGTTAAACAATCCCAAATTCTACTTGTATTTACAATGGGTTTATAAGGAAGTCATCAGACATACCCAGTTCATTGAGGTTATAGTAGGTCGCCCACTCTGGAGCGCTATTCCTGTTCAACCTCTTGTCCTTCACCTGGGAAGGAAACACAGACAGACAGACAGACAGACTGTGGACCCCAGGAAGAGTAGCTACTGCAAGTGAAACAGCTAATGGAGATCTTAATAAACTAAACTAATTCCATTTCCAGTTATTCTCCAGAGAAAAAGCACACAAAGAACAGACAAATAAAAAGACCCATGTTTTTTGGAGAATGTACAGGTAAATGCCAAAATAATGGAAACTCTTGAGTAAATGAGGGATATCAAGTATATTGAAAGCAGGTGCTTCCACACAGGTGTGGTTCCTGAGCTAGTTAAGCAATTAACATAGCAAAAGTAGCTTTTTGCTACCATGGCTATACCCCATAGGATGACAATGCCCCCATCCACAGGGCACGAGTGGTCACTGAATGGTTTGATGAGCGTGAAAACGATGTAAACCATATGCCACGGCCGTCTCAGTCACCAGATCTCAACCCAATTGAACACTTCTGGGAAATTCTGGAGCGGCGCCTGAGACAGAGATTTCCACCACCATCAACAAAACACCAAACGATTGAATTTCTCGCGGAAGAATGGTGTCGCATCCCTCCGATAGAGTTCCAGACACTGGTAGAATCTATGCCAAGGTGCACTGAAGCCGTTCTGCCTCGCGGTGGCACAACGCCCTATTAAGACACTTTATGTCTGTGTTTCCTTTATTTTGGCAGTTACATGCATGTACTCTAAGCATAAATCAAGTTAAGGTTCGTTGCCACCCACCTTGGCCCTCCTTGTCTTCTCGTCAGGCTTGGCATAGTGGCCAGCGTAGGTACATGGTCCCATAGTGTGGTAGGAGGGGTTAGTGAAACAACGACTGGCGTTGCTGTTGGTAGGAGATGAGCATGGTCCCATAGTGTGGTAGGAGGGGTTAGTGAAACAACGACTGGCGTTGCTGTTGCTAGGAGATGAATCTAGACAGGAGAGCAAGACTGAACCCTGAAGCCCTGCTCACCACGGAAACACCAGATAACAGCACAGGACTCTAGATACACACACACACACACACACTCACATGTGCGAGCACGCAAGCAAACGCAAAAAACACACAGCTCCATCGGGATATTTTCAATACATGGCTGGGGAAAAAAAAGAGGTTTCATCAGGTAGCTAAGTTTGCTGAGAACACAAACAGCAAGAGAGAGGAGGATCTAGATGAAAAGAGAGTTCAGTTATATCACCCCCGAATTTAAAGAGACAGTGCTGTGGAGGGGGGTACAGTGCTGTGGAGGGGGGTACAGTGCTGTGGAGGGGGGGTACAGTGCTGTGGAGGGGGGTACAGTGCTGTAGAGGGGGGGTCCAGTGCTGTGGAGGGGGGGTTCAGTGCTGTGGAGGGGGGTACAGTGCTGTGGAGGGGGGTAACAGTGCTGTAGAGGGGGGGGTCCAGTGCTGTGGAGGGGGGGGTTCAGTGCTGTGGAGGGGGGGTACAGTGCTGTGGAGGGGGGGTACAGTGCTGTGGAGGGGGGGTACAGTGCTGTGGAGGGGGGGTACAGTGCTGTGGAGGGAGTACAGTGCTGTGGAGGGAGTCCACACTGTAAAGAGACAGTGCTGCGGAGAGGGTCCAGTCCTGTGGATAAAGACTTAACAACACCATAGTAAACATTTGTAAACCCCTGACTGACGGAACGTCTCACCAGAGAGGGAGTAGCCCTGGCTGCTGATCCTCAGGGCGGGGCTGTAGGACACACTGGCCATGTGCTGCCCTCCTTTCTCTCTCTGCTGATGCCGGCGCCACCACACCACCACCCCCAACATGGTCACGATGAAGAGGAGGAGGAAGATGATGCCCATGACAGCGCCCGCCGACTGGCGCTCTGATGCCAAGGCTGGGCTGATCTTAGTGTAGGGGTTCAGCTCGTCCATCATCAGGGCAGCTGGAAAAGAGACATATTTATATGAAACGAAAAAACGTCAACACTACCACAGCATCGCCATTAATACACAGATAAAACACCAGACCTGGATGGAATACATGCTGTGATATGATCACACATTCTCAAAAAACACGAGGTGTGCAGGATAAAGCTTGCCGAATAAAATGGAACAAATAGAATAGTCCCAAAAGTGTAAACTCTGTCCACCTTGCACATCGGTCAGCAGTCACAAACATGCACAAACACACACACACACAGACACACAGACACATTGACACACACACAGACACATTGACACACACACAGACACACAGACACAGACACACAGACACAGACACACAGACACATTGACACACACACACACACACAGACACACACACACACAGACACAGACACACAGACACACACAGACACAGACACACAGACACAGACACAGACACACACACAGACACACACAGACACAGACACACAGACACATTGACACACACACACACACACACAGACACACACAGACACACACAGACACAGACACAGACACACAGACACACAGACACAGACACAGACACAGACACACAGACACAGACACACAGACACAGACACAGACACACAGACACACAGACACACAGACACAGACACACAGACACAGACACAGACACACAGACACACAGACACAGACACAGACACAGACACACAGACACAGACACACACAGACACAGACACACAGACACAGACACACAGACACACAGACACAGACACAGACACAGACACACAGACACAGACACAGACACAGACACACACAGACACAGACACACAGACACAGACACAGACTTACCGTGGTCACAGCGGATGCCCTTGTAGCCGCTGCTGCAGTAGCAGGTCCCAGTCACATAGTCACAGGTGGCGTTGTTCATACACTCACACAGCTGCTGACAGCCGTAGCCAAACGTACCAGGAGGACACTCTGAGAGGGAGCGGAAGAGTTAGTAGACAATATACACACACTACACACACACACACACTCACACTACACACACACACACACACACACACACATTCAGTCAGGTGCACACACGCACGCACACACACACACGTGCGCACACACACACGCACACACACACACACAGTTAGTGTTGGGATGGACTCACTGAGTTCACAGCTGTGTCCGATGAATCCGGTCCGACAGGAGCACTGACCAGTGATGTGGTCACAGTCCGCTCCGTTCTGACAGCGACACACCTCGGAGCAGGATGGACCAAAGAACCCTGAACTGCAACCTGAAGGAAAGAGACACACACGTCACACACACACACCTCCGTACACACACACACACATGTAATGACACTGATATACCACTAGGTGGTGTATGTCTGTAGGTTATGTCATGACACTGATCTGCCACTAGGAGGTGGTGTAGGTCTACGTTGACTCACGTTGTGTACAGTAGAGTCCGCTCCACCCTGCGCTGCAGCTACACTGTCCGTCTGTAGCGCTGCACTGAGCCCCGTTGTGACAGTTACAGGTATGGATGCAGTCTGGACCCCACGCACCCTGAGGACACACTGTGGACAACACACACTGTTAGACTTTGATACACACAGTCAGACTCTACAACAAACACACACACTCTACCTCTCATGTCTAATAACACACCAACTAACAACCTCGTGCTGTATGTCTCTCATGACCATAGCCCATCTTTGACTGAATATTAATGATTACAGTTCTTCAAAAGAGTGGACTGGATAAGTAGCACTGCATCCATCTATCCTCTATCTATCCTTAAATAACCCATGTCTCCATCTCTAAGGCAGGAATACAGTGAGTACTACAGTAGATCAGAGGACAGTCAGGAATACACTCAGTACTACAGTAGATCAGAGGACAGTCAGGAATACAGTGAGTACTACAGTAGATCAGAGGACAGTCAGGAATACAGTCAGTACTACAGTAGATCAGAGGACAGTCAGGAATACAGTGAGTACTACAGTAGATCAGAGGACAGTCAGGAATACAGTCAGTACTACAGTAGATCAGAGGACAGTCAGGAATACAGTCAGTACTACAGTAGATCAGAGGACAGTCAGGAATACAGTCAGTACTACAGTAGAACAGAGGACAGTCAGGAATACAGTGAGTACTACAGTAGATCAGAGGACAGTCAGGAATACAGTGAGTACTACAGTAGATCAGAGGACAGTCAGGAATACAGTCAGTACTACAGTAGATCAGAGGACAGTCAGGAATACAGTCAGTACTACAGTAGATCAGAGGACAGTCAGGAATACAGTCAGTACTACAGTAGATCAGAGGACAGTCAGGAATACAGTGAGTACTACAGTAGAACAGAGGACAGTCAGGAATACAGTCAGTACTACAGTAGATCAGAGGACAGTCAGGAATACAGTCAGTACTACAGTAGATCAGAGGACAGTCAGTCTGGATTGATGTCCTGGCTCTGGTGTATACAGAATGGATTGTTATCATATTTACTTTTTTATCTACATCAGAGAGAGAGAGACAGAGAGAGAGAGAGAGACAGAGAGAGAGAGAGAGAGACAGACCGAGAGAGAGAGAGACAGAGAGAGAGAACAAGAGAGAGAGACAGAGATCGAGAGAGAGAGAGAGAGAGAGAGAGAAGAGACAGAGAGACACAGAGAGAGAGAGTAGACAGGAGGAGAGAGAGAGACAGAGAGGAAGAGAGAGACAGAGAGAGAGACAGAGAGAGAGACAGAGGAGAAGAGAGAGAAGAGAGAGAGAGAAGAGAAGACAGAGAGACCCAGAGAGGGAGAGAACAGAGAGAGAGAGAGAGAACCAGAGACGAGAGAGAGACAGAGAAGAGAGAGAGAACAGAGATAAAGGACAGAGAGAGAGAGCAGAGAGAGAGAGACAAGAGAGAGAGAGAGAGACAGAGACAAGAGACAGAGAAGAACAAGAAATACAGAGACAGAGAGAGAGAGACATAGAGCAGAGAGAACAGATACAAGAGACAGTAGAGATAGACATAAGAGAGAGAGAGAGACAGAGATAGAGAGAGAACAGAGAGAGACAGAGATACAGAGACAGAGAACAAGAGAGAGACAGAGAGAGATAGAGAGAAGAGAGAGATACAGAATAGAGAGACTAGACAGAGACATAGAGAAGACAGAGACAGAGAGTAGAGACATATATGATACAGAGAGATAGAGAGACAGAGAGAGATACAGATACAGATAGAACATAGATAGAGAGAACAGAGAACACCAATAGAGATATAATAGAGAGATGACAAGATTAAAAACAGATATACAAGAGAAATATATATAGATATATAGATAGATGCAGTAATATAGATACAGATAGAAGATACAGATAAGAGACCGAGACAAAGAGAGAGAGAGAGAGAGTAGTAGTTTCTTGGTCAGGGAGCTCCTACCCTTAGAGCAGTCCTCTCCGATCCATCCTGGGTAGCACTGACAGGAGCCATCGATGGGGTTACAGGTCCCGTTGTTGGTACACATACACACCTCAGCACAGCCCTTCCCATACCTGCCACTGGGACACACTGACACACACACAGTGCATTCAGAATGTATTCAAACCATATATAACTATCAATACCGTACCAGTCAAAAGTTTGGACAACACCTACTCATTCAAGGGATTTTCTTTATTATTACTATTTTCTACATTGTAGAATAATAGTGAAGACATCAAAACTAGGAAATAACACATATGGAATCATGTAGTAACCAAAAAAGCGTTAAACAAATCAAAATATATTTTATATTTGAGATTCTTCAAAGTGGCCACCCTTTGCCTTGATGACAGCTTTGCACACTCTTGGCATTCTCTCAACCAGCTTCACCTGGAATGCTTTTCCAACAGTCTTGAAGGAGTTCCCACATATGCTGAGCACTTGTTGGCTGCTTTTCCTTCACTCTGCCGTCCGACTCATCCCAAACCATCTCAATTGGGTTGAGGTCGGGGGATTGTGGAGGCCAGGTCATCTGATGCAGCACTCCATCACTCTCCATCTTGGTCAAATAGCCCTTAAACAGCCTGGAGGTGTGTTGGGTCATTCTCCTGTTGAAAAACAAATGATAGTCCCACTAACTGCAAACCAGCTGGGATGGCGTATCGCTGCAGAATGCTGTGGTAGCCATGCTGGTTAAGTGTGCCTTGAATTCCAAATAAATCACTGACAGTATCACCAGCAAAGCACCCCACACCATCACACCTCCTCCTCCATTCTTCACGGTGAGAACCACACATGTGGAGATCATCCGTTCACCTACTCTGCGTCTCACAAAGACACAGCGGTTGGAACCAAAAATCTCAAATTTGGACTCATCAAACCAAAGGACAGATTTCCACCGGTCTAATGTCCATTGCTCGTGTTTCTTGGCCTAAGCAAGTCTCTTCATATTATTGGTGTCCTTTAGTAGGGGTTTCTTTGCTGCAATTCGACCATGAAGACCTGATTCACACAGTCTCCTCTGAACAGGTGATGTTGAGATGTGTCTGTTACTTGAACTCTGTGAAGCATTTATTTGGGCTGCAATTTCTGAGGCTGGTAAGTCTAATTAACTTATCCTCTGCAGCAGAGGTAACTCTGGGTCTTCCTTTCCTGTGGCGGTCCTCATGAGAGCCAGTTTCATCATAGCGCTTTATGGTGTTTGCGACTGCAGTTGAAGAAACTTTCAAAAAGTTCTTGAAATGTTCTGGATTGACTGACCTTCATGTCTTAAAGTAATGATGGACTGTCACTTCTCTTTGCTTATTTGAGCTGTTCTTGCCATAATATGGACTTGGTCTTTTACCAAATAGGGCTATCTTCTGTATACCACCCCTACCTTGTCACAACACAACTGATTGACTCAAACAAATTAAGAAATAAAGAAATTCCACAAATTAACTTTTAACAAGGCACACCTGTTAATTGAAATGCATTCCAGGTGACTACCTCATGAAGCTGGTTGAAAGAATGCCAAGAGTGTGCAAAGCTGTCATCAAGGCAAAGGGTGGCTACTTTGAAGAATCTCAAATATAAAATATATTCTGATTTTTTTAGCACTTTTTGGGTTACTACATGATTCCATATGTGTTATTTCATACGGAATATATTTCATATTTTTGATGTCTTCACTATTATTCTACAATGTAGAAAATAGTAAAAAATAAAGAAAAACCCTTGAATGAGTAGGTGTTCTAAAACTTTTGACTGGTACTGTATATATAACAACTATACATATACAGTGCTTTCAGAAAGTATTCAGACTTCTTCCACATTTTGTCACGTTACAGCTTTATTCTAAAATGGATTATATAAAACATTGTCGTCATCAATCTACACACAATACCCCATAATGACAAAGCGAAAACAGATTTTAGACATTTTTTGCAAATGTATTAAAAATAAAAAACAGAAATACCTTATTTACATAAGTATTCAGACCCTTTACTCAGTACTTTGTTGAAGCACCTTTGGCAGCGATTACAGCCTCGGGAATTATTGGTTATGACGCTACAAGCTTGGCACACCTGTATTTGGGTGGTTTCTCCCATTCCTCTCTGCAGATCCTGTCAAGCTCTGTCAGGTTGGATGGGGAGCGTCGCTGAACAGCTATTTTCAGGTCTCTCCAGAGATGTTCGATCAGGTTCAAGTCCGGGCTCTGGCTGGGCCACTCAAGGACATTCAGAGACTTGTCCCGAAGCCACTCCTGCGTTGCCTTGGCTTAGGGTCGTTGTTCTGTTGGAAGGTGAACCTCCCCAGTCTGAGGTCCTGAGCGCACTGTAGCAGGTTTTCATCAAGGATTTCTCTGTGCTTTGCTCTGTTCATATTTCCCTCGATCCTAACTAGTCTCCCAGTACCTGCCGCTGAAAAACATCCCCCCAGCATGATGCTGCCACTACCATACTTCACCGTAGGGATGGTGCCAGGTTTCTTCCAGATGTGACGCTTGGCATTCAATCTTGGTTTCATCAGACCAGAGAATATTGTTTCTCATGGTCTGAGAGTCTTTAGGTGCCTTTTGGCAAACTCCAAGCTGGTTGTCATGTGCCTTTTACTGAGGAGTGGCTTCTGTCTGGCCACTCCACCATAAAGGCCTGATTGGTGGAGTGCTGCAGAGATGGTTGTCCTTCTGGAAGGTTTTCCCATCTCCACAGAGGAACTCTGGAGCTTTGTCAGAGTGACCATTGGGTTATTGGTCACCTCTCTGACCAAGGCCCTTCTTCCCCGATTGCTCAGTTTGGCTCTAGGAAGAGTCTTGGTGGTTCCAAACTTCTTCCATTTAAGAATGATGGAGGCCACTGTGTTCTTGGAGACCTTCAATGCTGCAGACATTTTTTGGTACCCTTCCCCAGATCTGTGCCTCGACACAATCCTGTCTCGGAGCTCTACGGACAATTCCTTTGACCTCATGGCTTGGTTTTTGCTCTGACATGCACTGTCAACTGTGGGACCTTATATAGACAGGTGTGTGCCTTTCCAAATCATGTCCAATCAATTGAATTGACCACAGGTGGACTCCAATCGAGTTGTAGAAACATCTCAAGGATGATCAATGGAAACATGATGTACCTGAGCTCAATTTCGAGTCTCATAGCAAAGGGTCTGAATACTTATGTAAATAAGGTATTTCCGTTTTTATTGTTTATACATTTGCAAAAATGTCTAAAAATCTGTTTTCCCTTTGTCATTATGGGGTATTGTGGGTAGATTGATGAGGGGGAAAAAATATTGAATCCATTTTAGAATAAGGCTGTAACGTAACAAAATGTGGAAAAAGTCAAGGGGTCTGAATACTTTCCGAATGCACTGTACATACACACACATTCACACACACACACACACACACGTTAAATATGAAGGAGGGATACACAGAGATGTATGCACACACACACACACACACACACACACACACACACACGTCATAGAGACTAACCGACAAACAGTACTATGACTCACAGTATCGAAGCACATCATACTGAAACATCCTCTACAGAATGTAGCCTACAACATGTACCAAAACCATTTCTCATCTATTTTGAACATATGGAAATAACTATATATATCCAATCCATTATCTACCTTACATCAGAGAAGATGCAGTTCTGTGTGGCATCAACAACACCAAGGTCGTGGATGTGGGTTCAATTCCCACAGGGACCCACACACACACACACAAAGGTTAAATAAACATCCAGGTAAAATGCATCCACTGACTGTACTCTACGTTTCTGTTGATAGAGGCGTCTGCTAAGTGCTATATAAATAAAAAGAACAGGAAGGAGGAGGTCATGCGGGCGTTTTAAAGGGTTCATTTCTAATCCATGGCCTCTAAAGAAGGGGATCTAGTCTGCATCCCAAATGGCACCCTATTCCCTCTATAGTGCACTACTGTTAACCAGAGCCCTGTGGACCCTGGGACTCAGCCAGTGATTTATTGAGCTTCTCCAATGATCCGTCTGTCCAGCCTGTAGATGCGGTGCAGAATGGTTAATGTAGGATAGGATAGGATAGGATAGGGTCAGCATTAACACTGCAGCTTGACTGTGCATTTTTAATGACAATGAATATTTCACCTGCCCCCCCCCACCACTGTCCTCTCTTTAATTTAAGATTCCATTTGGAACCTACGGAACCTTGGAACAGAACCTTGGGCAGGCTATTCTTTCACCAGGAATGAACAGTGTTTTAACCTGCCAGGGAGGGGAGGGGGGACCGCCACACAAGGATAGGGACTCTGTTAGAACAAACTGATAAATGAATCCGAATGTTGAAAGAAAAGTTTCTTTTGGCAGAGAAAAGAGGAGGAGGAGGAAGAGGAGGAGGAGGAAGATGAGGAAGAGGAGGAGGAAGAGGAAGAGGAAGAGGAGGAGGATTAGGTCAGAGGAGGAGGAAGAGGAGGAGGATTAGGTCAGAGGAGGAGGAAGAGGAGGAGGATTAGGTCAGAGGAGGAGGAAGAGGAGGAGGAGGAGGAGGAGGAGGAGGAGGAGGGAGGAGGAAGAGGAGGGGGAGGAGGATTAGGTCAGAGGAGGAGGAGGAGGAGGAAGAAGAGAGGGAAGTCTAACTGCCATCAAGGATATTTGGAGTTTTCATTTCTCTCTCTTCTTACTCTTGTCTAATTCTATTTCAGGGTTTTGCTGCTGTCTTCCTCTGAAGTGCTCTTTCAAGCGCCTCAAACATGATCTTGCATCTGCATGTGAGCATTAGATTTAAACCCACAATTAATCTCAAACTTTCATACTTCAACAGGAAGATTAAAACGTCTCAGAAGGTCTCGTATTGGACGAGAGACCACCGACGTAGACCTAAAAAGCCAAACATTTTCAGAGGCAACTGCCGAGTGACTGAACTAGCCCTTAATTAAGGTCTTCTTGACAAACGAGCAACATTTATAAAAGCCCTATTTTAACATATTAGTCCTTATATTTATGAGACAGGGCTGGGAAGGGTTATGACATAGCCCCTCTAGTAATTTAATAGGATCTCTATGGCTGGGAAGGGCATGAAAGTGAATTATATATCTGCCCATTGCCTCTTTCTAATTCATTTCTAATTTCATTATTAGGAAAATTAATATGTATTTTAAATCTGGATGAGACTTTATATAGAGTGGTGAGGAGGAGGAGTCTACCATGGTGAGGAGGAGGAGTCTACCGTGGTGAGGAGGAGGAGTCTACTGTGGTGAGGAGGAGGAGTCTACCGTGGTGAGAAGGAGGAGTCTACCGTGGTGAGAAGGAGGAGTTTACCATGGTGAGGAGGAGGAGTCTACCATGGTGAGGAGGAGGAGTCTACCATGGTGAGGAGGAGGAGTCTACGTGGTGAGGAGGAGGAGTCTACCATGGTGAGGAGGAGGAGTCTACTGTGGTGAGGAGGAGGAGTCTACCGTGGTGAGGAGGAGGAGTCTACCGTGGTGAGGAGGAGGAGTCTACGTGGTGAGGAGGAGGAGTCTACTGTGGTGAGGAGGAGGAGTCTACCGTGGTGAGGAGGAGGAGTCTACCGTGGTGAGGAGGAGGAGTCTACCGTGGTGAGGAGGAGGAGTCTAGTGGTGAGAAGGAGGAGTCTACGTGGTGAGGAGGAGGAGTCTACTGTGGTGAGGAGGAGGAGTCTACCGTGGTGAGGAGGAGGAGTCTACCGTGGTGAGGAGGAGGAGTCTACCGTGGTGAGGAGGAGGAGTCTACCATGGTGAGGAGGAGGAGTCTTTTCACCGCCAGCTCCTGATATCAGGGCATAAAAACTACAATCTGAATTAGCTTAGTGGGCCCGAGCTGGCTAAACTAGCTGGCTAAACTAGCTGGCTAAACTAGCTGGCTAGCTGAACTATGCTAGTTTTTGTCCTCATTGCCAAACTTCACAAATACTGCCCCCTCAACTTCAAAAGTTAAAAACGACAATCACGTAACTAAGACATTTGCTGGAAACAAAAACTTAAAAATTATGTATTGCTTCATTGTTTTGTTGAATAGTCATGACTGGTTTGAGATATCTGTCGCACAAGACGTATGTGGCAGGGTCTACAGACAATCACGGACTACAAAAGGAAAACCAGCCACGTCGCCGACACCGACGTCTCGCTTCCAGACAAGCTAAACACCTTCTTCACCCACTTTTGAGGATAACACAGTGCCACCGACGCGGCCCACTACCAAGGACTGTGGGCTCTCCTTCTCCGTAGCCGACGTGAGTAAGACATTTAAGCATGTTAACCCTCGCAAGGCTGCCGGCCCAGACCGTATCCCTAGCCGCGTCCTCAGAGCATGCGCAGACCAGCTGGCTGGTGTGTTTATGGACATATTCAATATCTCCCTTTCCCAGTCTGCTGTTCCCACATGCTTCAAGATGGCCACCATTGTTCCTGTACCCAAGAAAGCAAAGGTAACTGAACTAAATGACTATCGCCCTGTAGCACTCACCTCTGTCATCATGAAGTGCTTTGAGAGACTAGTCAAGGATCATATCACCTCTACCTTACCTGTCACCCTAGACCCACTTCAATTTGCTTACCGCCCCCATACATCCACAGACGATGCAATCGCCATCACACTGCACACTGCCCTATCCCATCTGGACAAGAGGAATACCTATGTAAGAATGCTGTTCATTGACTATAGCTCAGCGTTCAACACCATAGTACCCTCCAAGCTCATCATTAAGCTCGAGGCCCTGGGTCTGAACCACGCCCTGTGCAACTGGGTCCTGGACTTCCTGACGGGCCGCCCCCAGGTGGTGAAGGTAGGAAACAACATCTCCACTTCGCTGATCCTCAACACTGGGGCCCCACAAGGGTGCGTGCTCAGCCCCCCCCCCCCCCGTACTCCCTGTTCACCCATGACTGCGTGGCCAAGCACGCCTCCAACTCCATCATCAAGTTTGCAGATGACACAACAGTAGTAGGCTTGATTACCAACAATTACGAGACAGCTTACATGGAGGTGGTGAGGGCTCTGGGAGTGTGGTGCCAGGAAAATAACCTCTCACTCAACATCAACAAAACAAAGGAGATGATCGTGGACTTCAGGAAACAGCAGAGGGTGCACCCCCCTATCCACATCGACGGGACCGCAGTGGAGAAGGTGGAAAGCTTCAAGTTCCTTGGCGTACACATCACTGACAAACTGAAATGGTCCACCCACGCAGACAGCGTGGTGAAGAAGGTGCAACAGAGCCTCTTCAACCTCAGGAGGCTGAATAAATTTGTCTTGGCACCTAAAACCCTCACAAACCTTTACAGATGCACAATTGAGAGCATCCTGTCGGGCTGTATCATCGCCTGGTATGGCAACTGCACCGCCCGCAACCGCAGGGCTCTCCAGAGGGTGGTGCGGTCTGCCGAACGCATTACCGGGGGCAAACTACCCGCCCTCCAGGACACCTACAGCACCCGATGTCAGAGGAAGGCCAAAAAGATCACCCCGCTATCATCCAGAAGGTGAGGTCAGTACAGGTGCATCAAAGCTGGGACAGAGAGAATGAAAAACAGCTTCTATCTCAAGGCCATCAGACTGTTAAATAGCCATCAGTAGCACATTAGAGACTGCTGCTGCCTATTGAAATCACTGGCCACTTTAAGAAATGGAACACTAGTCACTTTAATAATGTTTACATATCTTGCATATCTCATATGTATATACTGTATTCTATAATATTCTACTGTATCTTAGTCCATGCTGCTCTGACATTGCTCGTCCATATACAGTGGGGAAAAAAAGTATTTAGTCAGCCACCAATTGTGCAAGTTCTCCCACTTAAAAAGATGAGAGAGGCCTGTAATTTTCATCATAGGTACACGTCAACTATGACAGACAAATTGAGAAAAGAAAATCCAGAAAATCACATTGTAGGATTTTTTATGAATTTATTTGCAAATTATGGTGGAAAATAAGTATTTGGTCACCTACAAAAAAGCAAGATTTCTGGCTCTCACAGACCTGTAACTTCTTCTTTAAGAGGCTCCTCTGTCCTCCACTCGTTACCTGTATTAATGGCACCTGTTTGAACTTGTTATCAGTATAAAATACACCTGTCCACAACCTCAAACAGTCACACTCCAAACTCCACTATGGCCAAGACCAAAGAGCTGTCAAAGGACACCAGAAACAAAATTGTAGACCTGCACCAGGCTGGGAAGACTGAATCTGCAATAGGTAAGCTGCTTGGTTTGAAGAAATCAACTGTGGGAGCAATTATTAGGAAATGGAAGACATACAAGACCACTGATAATCTCCCTCGATCTGGGGCTCCACGCAAGATCTCACCCCGTGGGGTCAAAATGATCACAAGATCGGTGAGCAAAAATCCCAGAACCACACGGGGGACCTAGTGAATGACCTGCAGAGAGCTGGGACCAAAGTAACAAAGCCTACCATCAGTAACACACTACGCCGCCAGGGACTCAAATCCTGTAGTGCTAGACGTGTCCCCCTGCTTAAGCCAGTACATGTCCAGGCCCGTCTGAAGTTTGCTAGAGTGCATCCAGAAGAGGATTGGGAGAATGTCATATGGTCAGATGAAACCAAAATATAACTTTTTGGTAAAAACTCAACTCGTCGTGTTTGGAGGACAAAGAATGCTGAGTTGCATCCAAAGAACACCATACCTACTGTGAAGCATGGGAGTGAAAACATCATACTTTGGGGCTGTTTTTCTGCAAAGGGACCAGGACGACTGATCCGTGTAAAGGAAAGAATGAATGGGGCCATGTATCGTGAGATTTTGAGTGAAAACCTCCTTTCATCAGCAAGGGCATTGAAGATGAAACGTGGCTGGGTCTTTCAGCATGACAATGATCCCAAACACACACCGCCCGGGCAATGAAGGAGTGGCTTCGTAAGAAGCATTTCAAGGTCCTGGAGTCTCCAGATCTCAACCCCATAGAAAATCTTTGGAGGGAGTTGAAAGTCTGTGTTGCCCAGCAACAGCCCCAAAACATCACTGCTCTAGAGGAGATCTGCATGGAGGAATGGGCCAAAATACCAGCAACAGTGTGTGAAAACCTTGTGAAGACTTACAGAAAACGTTTGACCTGTGTCATTGCCAACAAAGGGTATATAACAAAGTATTGAGAAACTTTTGTTATTGACCAAATACTTATTTTCCACCATAATTTGCAAATAAATTCATAAAAAATCCTACAATGTGATTTTCTGGATTTTTTTTTCTCATTTTGTCTGTCATAGTTGACGTGTACCTATGATGAAAATTACAGGCCTCTCTCATCTTTTTAAGTGGGAGAACTTGCACAATTGGTGGCTGACTAAATACTTTTTTTCCCCACTGTATGTATATATTCTTAAATTCCATTCCTTACTTAGATTTATGTGTATTGGGTATATGTTGTGAAATTGTTAGATATTACTTGTTAGATATTACTGCACTGTCGGAGCTAGAAGCACAAGCATTTCGCTACACCCGCTATAACATCTGCTAAACACGTTTATGTAACAAATAGCATTTGATTTGATTTGATTTGTAAGACGACGGAGGCGGCGAAGGACATCATTGCTACTTAACGCAGGTCCAAGTTCAGTTTTGAGATTCACCGGCGCCATTGGCGTAGGGTTAGCTGGACGTTTCTGACTGGTCTTAGGAACAGTGTCAACGGGCAGCCACTCCCCCCTTGGCTCCATGGGAAATGTAGTGATTTTGCCAACACAGCCAGATACGTACACAGTCTTGAACCCTTAACCTTTTTTTAAACTGACCATCGTATTTGTTGTTAATATAATGACTAATCCAGGAGTCACGAGTTATCTGACATGAGAAAACTTTAGAAAATAGCAACTGTACAGATCGCAGATGACTACAATGAATGGCTAAATGACTTCGGGACACAAAGGGTCCTCAGAGCTCCTCCTCCTCACCACTCTATGGGCTTTGTAGCACCGTGGACCAGGCAGGGGAGAGGAACGGTCATAACAGATCTATGTTATGACATATCTATGTCTCAACAGATCTATGTCAGAACAGATCTATGTCAGAACAGATCTATGTCCTATTAACAGATTTATGTCATTTAAACAGATCTATGTCCTAATAGATCTATATCCTAATAGATATATGTCATATTAACATATCTATGTCCTAATAGATCTATGTCCCAACAGATGGTTCCGTGATTAAGCCACACACTCCAGATGAATAACCTTGGCTGAGACTTGAAGATGTGCATCAGCTCCTTGTCTTGTGACGTGGAGGAGACCCAGCTTCAGGTTTATGACTGAATGTAGTTCAGAATGTAACACTATGTAAATAAGTAATGTTGTGTTGATATATCTATTGAACGTACAAAAAGGACAAATTAATGTTGTAGGTAGGACAAATGAGTTGGCTAAAGTACAAACTTTCTGGCGTCCAGGCTGAGTGAAAACAGAGAGAACAGAGACGTATGTCCTATCTCCCAATAGTCATTTCAGGTCTAGAGACAGAGAACAGAGAATTATGTCATATCTCCCAATAGTCATATCAGGTCTAGAGACAGAGAACAGAGACTCTAAGGGGTTTGAGCAGAAAGAACAGTGACTGGTGGAAAGTGGTTTGAAGCAGAGCGAGCAGAGAGAGCAGAGAGAGTAGAGAAACTTACCTTGGTTACACAGAGAGCCACAGAATCCTGACAGACACTCACAGTGCCCTGCGATGTGGTGACAGGGACCATCGCTGTGGATACACTGAGGACAGGACTGACTGCAGCGCTGGCCATAGAACCCTGGAGAACAGACTTAAAACACAGAGGACAGGGTAAGACGGGACTGACTGCAGCGCTGGCCATAGAACCCTGGAGAACAGACTGAAAACCCAGGGGACAGGTTGAGACGGGACAGGACTGACTGCAGCGCTGGCAACACAGGAGACAGGGTGAGACGGGACAGGACTGACTGCAGCGCTGGCCATAGAACCCTGGAGAACAGACTGAAAACCCAGGGGACAGGGTGAGAGGGTGTGTGTATAGGTGTGTGTTGTGTGTGTGTGGGGGGGTGTATGTGTGTACTTAATTTCTGAGACAAACACGGATACAAAGCTAAGACACTACCAGAACTACCGGACACTACCAGAACTACCGGACACTACCGGACACTACCGGACACTTCAGGACACTACCGGACACTACCGGACACTTCCGGACACTACCACAACTACCGGACACTACCGGACACTTCCGGACACTACCGGACACTACCGGACACTACCGGACACTACCAGAACTACCGGACACTTCAGGACACTACCGGACACTTCCGGACAATTCCGGACACTACACACCAAAGATAACATTAAACACTCAAACCCCTCATGGCATTCCTATTTCCAATTTCTCCCTCTCTCCTCTCCTCTCCTCTCCCTTCCTCTCCTCTCCTCTCCCCCTCCTCTCCTCTCCTCTCCTCCCTCCTCTCCTCTCCTCCCCCTCCGTCCCCTCCTCCCTCCCTCTCCTCTCCCCCCTCCCTCCCTCCCTCCCTCCCTCCCCCCCTCCCCTCCCCTCCCCTCCTCTCCTCTCCTCCTCCTCTCCCCTCCTTCCTCGCCTCTTCCCTCTCCTCCCCTCTCCCTTCCCCTCCTCCCTCTCCTCTCCCTCCCCCCCCTCCCCCCCTCCTCCTCTCCTCTCCTCTCCCTTCTCCTCTCCTCTCCTCTCCTCCCTCCCTCCCCCTCTCTCCTCTCCCTCCCTCCTCCTCTCCTTCTCTCCTCTCCTCTCCTCTCCTCTCCTCTCCTCTCCTCTCCTCTCCTCTCCTCTCCTCTCCTCTTTCAGGTTTCACATGAGGTAAAGTCTGAAGCCAGGGAAGAAAAACCCTTTGACAACCCACTCTGCTCTCTATTGTAATCCTCTGTACTGAAGGAACAGAACACTTAGCTTTGTCCTCCTTCACTGAGGCTGCCAGCATCCCAAATGGCACTATAGTGCACTATATAGGGCCCATTGGGTATTGTGCACTATATAGGGCCCATTGGGTATTGTGCACTATATAGGGAATAGGGTGCCATTGGGGACGCAGCCTGTGCCACTCAGGCCATATGTCTTCCTTAAGCTCTTAATTAGTTTGCATTGATGTTTCTCTAAGTGGTGAGAGGAGGGGTTTACAGGTCAGACTGATGTTTCCTTCCTGCTCTGTCTCAGTGTAATGAGAGGAGGGGTTTACAGGTCAGACTGATGTTTCCTTCCTGCTCTGTCTCAGTGTAATGAGAGGAGGGGATTACAGGTCAGACTGATGTTTCCTTCCTGCTCTGTCTCAGTGTAATGAGAGGAGGGGTTTTACAGGTCAGACTGATGTTTCCTTCCTGCTCTGTCTCAGTGTAATGAGAGGAGGGGTTTACAGGTCAGACTGATGTTTCCTTCCTGCTCTGTCTCAGTGTAATGAGAGGAGGGGTTTACAGGTCAGACTGATGTTTCCTTCCTGCTCTGTCTCAGTGTAATGAGAGGAGGGGTTTACAGGTCAGACAAATTTACGTAGGCTCACACACACAGACATTTACGTAGGCTCACACACACAGACATTTACGTGGGCTCACACACACAGACATTTCCGTAGGCTCACATACACAGACATTTACGTAGGCTCACACACACATAAGTATATGTAGGAACACATATGCAAATACACACATGTCAGAGAGGCCATTTCACTTCACTAGCTGCTGATTATCGTGTGTGTGTGTGTGAGAGAGAGGGTGAGTGAGTGACTGAGTGACTGAGTAAGAGTGTTAGTGTGTGTGTGTGTGTGTGTGTGTGTGTGTGTGTGCAGGCGTATGTGCGTGTGGGTTGTTGTTCTCTTACTGCGTCTGCAGGAGGTGCCTCTGTATCCGGGAGCACACACACACGTTCCGTCCTCTGGTGAGCAGGAGCCTCCGTTCTCACAGGTACAGGAGTAGGAGCAGTCTGGGCCCCATCGGCCCTCCACACACACACCGTCACAGTGCACACCTGGAGGGGCCAGGAAACACAGGGATACCGCTCAGTAACTAATCTGGGGCCTCCACACCTGGAGGGGCCAGGAAACACAGGGATACCGCTCAGTAACTAATCTGGGGCCTCCACACCTGGAGGGGCCAGGAAATACAGGGATAACGCTCAGTAACTAATCTGGGGCCTCCACACCTGGAGGGGCCAGGAAACACAGGGATACCGCTCAGTAACTAATCTGTGGCCTCCACGGCTGTGAGAAGAGATTACCCAGCAACTAACTCTATACACTATCGTTTCTAAAGGATTTGTGAATGGAAGAGAGAGAAAGAGTGAAAGAAAGAGAGATAGATAGCTTTTCCTCCTTCCTCTTCCCTCTTCCCTCTGAGTTGGGAGAACGGTAGAGTCCGAGGGAGAGATGGAGAGTTGGGAGAACGGTAGAGTCCCAGGGAGAGATGGAGAGTTGGGAGAACGGTAGAGTCCGAGGGAGAGATGGAGAGTTGGGAGAAAGGTAAGAGTCCCAGGGAGAGATGGAGAGTTGGGAGAACGGTAGAGTCCCAGGGAGAAGATGGAGAGTTTGGGAGAAAGGTAGAGTCCCAGGGAGAGATGGAGAGTTGGGAGAACGGTAGAGTCCCAGGGAGAGATGGAGAGTTGGGAGAAAGGTAGAGTCCCGGGAGAGATGGAGAGTTGGGAGAACGGTAGAGTCCCAGGGAGAGATGGAGAGTTTGGGAGAACGGTAGAGTCCCAGGGAGAGATGGAGAGTTGGGAGAAAGGTAGAGTCCCAGGAGAGATGGAGATTGGGAGAACGGTAGAGTCCCAGGGAGAGATGGAGAGTTGGGAGAACGGTAGAGTCCCAGGGAGAATTGGAGAGTTGGGAGAAACGGTAGAGTCCCAGGGAGAGATGGAGAGTTGGGAGAACGGTAGAGTCCCAGGGAGAGATGGAGAGTTGGGAGAACGGTAGAGTCCCAGGGAGAGATGGAGAGTTGGGAGAAAGGTAGTCCCAGGGAGAGATGGAGAGTTGGGAGAACGGTAGAGTCCCAGGGAGAGATGGAGAGTTGGGAGAACGGTAGAGTCCCAGGGAGAGATGGCGTGGGAAGCATTAGCAGTGTCTCTCAAATTGTGTGTTTGTGTGTGTGTGTGTTGAGGGGAAGCAGTCCGTCTCAGCAGGACTGGGTTGAGGAACTGATTACTCACTGGGGATTCAACTAGAAGAGCGTCCATAGGTCTAACACACACCACACTCCTGAAACTCCCAGAAGTCCACACTCTTTCAACCTGTCCCCTCTGTTCCACACTCATTAGAAGTTGCTCTGACAGAACAGAGAGAGAATAATGTGAGTGGCTTCAGCCATTAATAACGTCATTCTAAAACGATCTGTCCAAACCTGCTGGGTCATGAAAACCCCGTTAATCTAGCTGACTTTCCTCCATCTCTCTACGGAAAGGATTGGGTGGTGTGGAGGGATGGGTTAAATGAGGATGGTTAGAGATGAGATAGGGGAGATGCGAGCAGATGGAGGGTGGGGGGAGAAGCTCTGTCAGAGTGGGGCTTTTCGATGGCTTTGTTCGACTCTTGGTTGCTGGAGGTAGAGATTCGGATGGTAGATTATTTTTGTTGGGGATCGGGCTAAATGGGGTGGGTTTCTCTTTCTTTTTTTCGATTTTTGCTCTCTCTTTTGTTCTCGTCTTTTCCCGTGAGGGATTGGTGTTTTTGGCGGTGGGGGATTTAGAGTGGAGGATTAGACCTCCCAATCCCTAGGCGATGAAATTCATAATGGCGGTTCAAAATGGGGACCTCCATATCATACCTCAGATAGGTCCTATTAATAATACAGTACTCAGACAGACCATCCATAATAACAGTACTCAGATAGACCATCCATAATAACAGTACTCAGATAGACCATCCGTAATAACAGTACTCAGATAGACCATCCAAAATAACCGTACTCAGATAGACCATCCATAATGACAGTACTCAGATAGACCATCCATAATAACAGTACTCAGATAGACCATCCATAATAACAGTACTCAGACAGACCATCCATAATAACAGTACTCAGACAGACCATCCATAATAACAGTACTCAGACAGACCATCCATAATGACAGTACTCAGACAGACCATCCATAATAACATAATAACAGTACTCAGACAGACCATCCATAATAACATAATAACAGTACTCAGACAGACCGTCCATAATAACAGTACTCAGACAGACCATCCACAATAACATAATAACAGTACTCAGACAGACCATCCATAATAACAGTACTCAGATAGACCATCCATAAGAACAGTACTCAGATAGACCATCCATAATAACAGTACTCAGACAGACCATCCATAATAACAGTACTCAGATAGACCATCCATAATGACAGTACTCAGATAGACCATCCATAATAACAGTACTCAGATAGACCATCCATAATAACAGTACTCAGATAGACCCATCCATAATAACAGTACTCAGATAGACCATCCATAATAACAGTACTCAGATAGACCATCCATAATAACAGTACTCAGATAGACCATCCATAATAACAGTACTCAGATAGACTATCCATAATGACCACGTCAGAGAGCTCTTTCACAGAACAGGCAGTGATCTTCTGCTGATCTCATACAATATATTTTTGTTTATGCTGTCTGCCATTGGAAAACCTTGAAGGCTTCTCACTGCGGGAAAAACAACAAAAAACATGTTCATATTAATTCATTTAAAATGTCACACCTAAGCACAGTGCATTTCACCAAAGGGGGTAGTCTTTAACTTTTAAACGGCTTTGCTATCCAATGCAAAAACTTTCCATTCCAAAAATTCCTCTTTCTTCCTCCACAATGTTATCCTCCTATACCCATCTAGCCCTACCGGGTGTCTCTTCAGGCATGTCTTTGGACAGCCCATCACGCAGGACCCCAGTGTTGTCAATTACATCCAGAGTAGAGAAGAGAACCATCCTGTCAGTTGTATTCCAGGCATGAATCAGCCCTGTGGTCACAGCTTCACCTCAGTCTGTCATTATACTGCAGCCATTCCCACGTTGTGATTCTAAACGCCCAGAGATGACCCTATCCTGACCACTGTCCCTGTCCCCCCATACAGCCGTCCTAATGGTAGCCAGAGAGGGACAGGGAGAGCAAACACACACACACCCCAGTGTGGAGCAGGACCTCTTGACATACCCATGCAGTCCATAGCACACGGCACTGTGCAGGACAGGGAGCTTTATATCCACTATCATCTACAACTATCTAACTCCTCTCTCACTCTCTACCTCCTCTCTCCACATCCTCTCCTCTGTTCTCTTCCTCTGTTCTCGTACTGCCTCTCCGCTGCACTCTCACCCCTCTCTACTCCCTCCTTGTCTCTCATCCCTCTCCTCTGTTCTCTCTCTCTACCTCCCCCGTCGTAACCTCTCTCTAATCTCCCCTCTGTCTGTCCCTCCTCTCCTCTGTTCTCCTCCCCCACTCTCTACTCTCTCACCTCCTCTCCTCTGTTCTCTTCTCCTCCCCTCCTCTGTTCCTTGCCCTCTATCACAACTCACAGCTCTTCGACTCCTCTCCTCGTTTCTTCTCCCCCATCTCGCTCTCCCTTCTCCCTCTCACCTAACTCCTCTCCTCTCTCTTCATTCCTCCCCTTCCTCTGTTCCTTCGTCCCCCCTGCCATATGCCAATCTCCCCTCTACCTCCTCCACCCACTCTTGTTTCGCTCCCATCACTATCCCCGTCTTCCTACGTAGCTCATCTCCTACTCCTACAGCTCGCCTGAACTCCACCCCTCCTCGTTACTGGAGCCTCCCCTCTCTCTGTTTTCTCTTCCCGATCCTCACGGAAAGAGAACGACTCCTCTCCCCGCCTCCCACTAGCGACCCCCCATCCACCTCAGTCATACTCTGCTCTCCACCTCTCTCTCTCTCGATCCCCTCCTCGCTCCCCTGCCCTCTCGCCCTCCCCTCCCCCGTCCACGCAGACCCCCTCTTCTCCCATCATTAGTCATTAGAAAAACATCTTTCTCATGATCCTAACGCCCTTCACAAACGTGTGATTGACATCAGAGCGACCACCCATCAGACGCCGGGATCTAAATGAGGAACTCTGACTGAAACCTGCAGATCTCATGATGATTAATGACACGACGGAATCTTATTATTATTATTATTATTATTAATATATGATATGTTTAAGGACTGGAGGTATGTGCCTACATTGTTATGAAATTACTAAACATTCAATCTCTCTTCCTGGCTATGGAAAATGTGAAGCCTGCACCTGAGGTTTGGTGGATCCTTAAATAATCAACAAGCAGATAATCATCTTTCTCATGATCCTAAACCTCCTTCACCCTCAAACGCTGTGACTTTGACATCAGAGCGACCAGCCTCATCAGACCGTCCGGATTCTCATTCATTACTTACTGTGACTCTGACTGAAACCCTGCAGAGTCTCATGATGATTGTAATGGACAGACTGACGGCAATCTATTATTATTATTATTATTATTATTATTATTATTATTATGATGATGATGTAATGTAAGGGACTGGAGGTATGTGTATGAACATTGTTAATGAAATTACTAAAACATTACTAATAGGTGGTGTGTGGTGAATTGGGAAAATGGTTGAAGCCGTGCAGCTGGAGGTTGTGTGGTGGATCCTGTAAATAATCAACAATGTAGCTCTCGCAACTCATTTTGCACCCATCACATGGTGAAATATTTAGGCTCTATGTGGAAGTCCACTTGTCGACCAAAGGACATGAAACTGAGACTACAGCCAATGCTAAGCTACAGGACTGTTTTGCTAGCAAAGACTGGAACATGTTCTGGGATTCTTCAGATAGCATTGAGGAGTACACCACATCAGTCACTGGCTTTCATCAATAAGTGCATCGATGACGTCGTCCCCACAGTGACCGTACGTACATACCCCAACCAGAAGCCATGGATTACAGGCAACATCGGCACTGAGCTAAAGGGTAGAGCTGCCGCTTTCAAGGAGCGGGACTCTGACCCGGACACTTATAAGAAATCCCGCTATGCCCTCCGACGAACCATCAAACAGGCAAAGAGTCAGTACAGGACTAAGATTGAATCGTACTACACCGGCTCTGACGCTCGTCGGATGTGGCAGGGCTTGAAAACTATTACAGACTACAAAGGGAAGCACAGCCGCAAGCTGCCCAGTGACACAAGACTTCCAGACGAGCTAAACCACTTCTATGCTCACTTCGAAGCAAGCAACACTGACGCATGCATGAGAGCACCAGCTGATCCGGATGACTATGTGATCACGCTCTCCGTAGCCGATGTGAGTAAGACTTTTAAGCAGGTCAACATTCACAAGGCCGCAGGGCCAGACGGATTACCAGGATGTGTCCTCCGAGCATGTGCTAACCAACTGGCAAGTGTCTTCACTGACATTTTCAACATGTCCCTGACTGAGTCTGTAATACCAACATGTTTCAAGCAGACCACCATAGTCCCCGTGCCCAAGGACACTAAGATAACCTGCCTAAATGACTACCGACCCGTAGCACTGACGTCTGTAGCCATGAAGTGCTTTGAAGGCTGGTCATGGCTCACATCAACACCATTATCCCAGAAACCCTAGACCCACTCCAATTTGCATACCGCCCCAACAGATCCACAGATGATGCAATCTCTATTGCACTCCACACTGCCCTTTCCCACCTGGACAAGAGCAACACCTACGTGAGAATGCTATTAATTGACTACAGCTCAGCATTCAACACCATAGTGCCCTCAAAGCTCATCACTAAGCTAAGGATCCTGGGACTAAACACCTCCCTCTGCAACTGGATCCTGGACTTCCTGACGGGCCGCCCCCAGGTGGTAAGGGTAGGTAACAACACATCTGCCACACTGATCCTCAACACGGGGGCCCCTCAGGGGTGCGTGCTCAGTCCCCTCCTGTACTCCCTGTTCACCCATGACTGCATGGCCAAGCACGATTCCAACACCATCATTAAGTTTGCCGACAACACAACAGTGGTAGGCCTGATCACCGACAACGATGAGACAGCCTATAGGGAGGAGGTCAGAGAACTGGCCGTGTGGTGGCAGGATAACTACCTCTCCCTCAACGTGACCAAGACAAAGGAGATGATTGTGGACTACAGGAAAAGAAAGAGGACTGAGCACGCCCCCGTTCTCATCGACGGGGCTGTAGTGGAACAGGTTGAGAGCTTCAAGTTCCTAGGAGTCCACATCACCAACAAAACTATTATGGTCCAAACACACCAAGAGAGTCGTGAAGAGGGCACGACAAAGCCTATTCCCCTCAGGAGAC